TTAATCACTAGGCGTTGCTCCAGTTGACATAGCCAGATCTGCAACAACGCTACAATTCCAGACCAAACTCTAGGAAGGGAAAAGAGCGAGGTTTGATCCGCGTTCCCGGGCACAATTGCCATCCAGCTCAGGCTTTTCATTTTTGACAACTCGATTGAACGCAACTCAGCACAGTTTTGCGCCTTTCTGGTAAACTTAATTTGTCTGATACTCAAATTTTGTTATGGTTCTGCTGTCAGTAAAGTGACGCATTAAAAACGTTGCTAATGGATGGCTGCACTGAGCGAAAGTGGCCCTATGCCAAGCACAGAAGAATAATTTTGCTCGTAGGTTACCATAAGCCACTGGCGAATAATTTTTCATATAGATTAATTCATAATACAAGGCTGAGGAAAAAGAAAAACTTCAGCTGTGAAATTAGCAAGAGTATGAATAATTTAAGTGAGGATCAGCAGATCTTCGTGAGTTTATAATTTTTCATAAAACTAACCTATTCAAAAATACATGAACGACAATGTTTATTTTTATAATTATGTCTTTGTAGCAGTATTACTGATAGAATGGCTTCAAAAAACAGGAGATTAAATCGACCTCCCCAAACTTGCCACAACCGAGATGCTCTCGGAACCGAAGGCACTGCGGGTCGATTTCAACAAGATTTCTTGCACTGCTAACGACATGAATATCGTCGTAGCTGTTATCGAGCTGTGATGATGCGGAACTTCTGCAAATAAGATACGTGTGCATTTGTAGCCCAATTTCGCTTTAGAAATATTCGTTTTCTCTTTATTTGTGCTAGGATTTCTTCCAAAGTTTCCCCTGGGCAGTACACGAATGAAGAAATCATTGAAAAGCTTCCCGTTATAGATGCTTACTGCATCAAAATCGTTGTTACTAAAGCCATGCATTTCTGTACGAGTGTTTTTGCAGGAAGTCAAATTTCGACCGACCATTCAGAGTGCTCTTTGGATGTGCAGTCGTTTCCTAGGAAATGGAGTCAGATTGCCATTAGACTAGGAGCTTTTTTCTTTTTCGATCCGAAAGTGGAATCATTTCGAAGCCTGTGGGAGTCAGGCCAGAAGCTTTGACTAATTTTAGTTTGATCATTTTAGCGAATTAAACTGCTAACTCCATCAGTGTGTACCCCTGCTGCAGCGGATTTCGTGGGTAAACGTCGCTCGAAGCATAGTGCATAGTTGATGATTTTGATCCATCACATATAGCTGTGCTGATACTGCCGATCTCCACTTCACTCCTGGAACATTTTTCACTGGCCGAAAAGATTCTTTTTGCATTCGGTTAGGATCCTGTTTCATATAGAGCAATTCCGCACTGCTGGTTTTTAGCAAAAGAAAGAAAATTTCGGATCATTATCTTTAACAACTAATTTCCTACTCCTAACAGTGCTATTTTAATATTAGCGCTTTTCTGCAATAAAATCAGTCAGTCGAGACAAGATCTAAGTGTGGCAATTAGCTAAATTCAAATGGAGCGAGTGAAA